GAGACAGGCAACAGGTTAGAGAAGACAACAGTTAGATCGAACAGGTTAGAGAAGAAGAGACAGACAGGTTAGAGACAGGACCAGGTCGAGACAGAAGGTAGAGGCAGAAAGGTTTAGAGACAGGCAGCAGGTTAGAGACAGACAAGACAGGGTTTAGAGACAGACAGACAGGTTAGAGACAGACAGACAGGTTAGAGACAGACAGACAGGTTAGAGACAGACAGACAGGTTAGAGACAGACAGACAGGTTAGAGACAGACAGACAGGTTAGAGACAAGACAGACAGGTTAGAGACAGGCAGACAGGTTAGAGACAGACAGACAGGTTAGAGACAAGACAGGTTAGAGACAAGACAGGTTAGAGACAGACAGACAGGTTAGAGACAGGCAGACAGTTAGAGACAGACAGACAGGTTAGAGACAGACAGACAGGTTAGAGACAGACAGACAGGTTAGAGACAGACAGACAGGTTAGAGACAGACAGGTTAGAGACAAGACAGACAGGTTAGAGACAGACAGTTTAGAGACAGACAGACAGGTTAGAGTCAGACAGACAGACAGGTTAGAGACAGACAGTTTAGAGACAGACAGACAGGTTAGAGTCAGACAGACAGTTTAGAGACAGACAGACAGGTTAGAGTCAGACAGACAGACAGGTTAGAGTCAGACAGACAGGTTAGAGTCAGACAGACAGACAGGTTAGAGTCAGACAGACAGACAGGTTAGAGTCAGACAGACAGACAGGTTAGAGACAGACAGACAGACAGGTTAGAGACAGACAGGTTAGAGACAGACAGGTTAGAGTCAGACAGACAGACAGGTTAGAGTCAGACAGACAGACAGGTTAGAGTCAGACAGACAGACAGGTTAGAGTCAGACAGACAGACAGGTTAGAGACAGACAGGTTAGAGACAGACAGGTTAGAGACAGGACAGGTTAGAGACAGACAGACAGGTTAGAGACAGACAGACAGGTCAGAGCAGGTTAAACTCATTTTTCCCCAGGTACAGTGAGGGAAAAAAGTATTTGATCCCCTGCTGATTTTGTACATTTGCCCACTGACAAAGACATGATCAGTCTATAATTTTAATGGTAGGTTTATTTGAACAGTGAGAGACAAAAAAATCCAGAAAAACGCATGTCACAAATGTTATAAATTGATTTGCATTTTAATGAGGTGCATTCGGAAAGTATTCAGCCCCCTGAGTTTCCACATTTTGTTACGTTACAGCCTTATTTTTTACAAATTATTTTTTTCCCACTCAGCAATCTACACACAATACCCCATAATGACGAAGCAAAAACAGGTTTAGACATTTTTGCAAATGTACTTAAAATAAACAGCAATACCTTATTTACATAAGTATTCAGACCCTTTGCAATGAGACTCGAAATTGAGCTCAGGTGCATCCTGTTTCCATTGATCATCCTTGAGATGTTTCTACAACTTGACTGGAGTCCACCTGTGGTAAATTCAATTGATTGGACATGATTTGGAAAGGCACACACCTGTCTATATATAAGGTCCCACAGTTTACAGTGCATGTCAGAACAAAAACCAAGCCATGAGGTCAAAGGAATTGTCCGTAGAGCTCCGAGACAGGATTGTGTCGAGGCACAGATCTGGGGAAGGGTACCAAAACATTTCTGCAGCATTGAAGGTCCCCAAGAACACAGTGGCCTCCATCATTCTTAAATGGAAGAAGTTTGGAACCACCAAGACTCTTCCTAGAGCTGGCCGCCCGGCCAAACTGAGCAATCGGAGGAGAAGGGCCTTGGTCAGGGAGGTGACCAAGAACCCGATGGTCACTCTGACAGAGCTCCAGAGTTTCTGTGGAGATGGGAGAACCTCCCAGAAGGACAACCATCTCTGCAGCACTCCACCAATCAGGCCTTTACGGTAGAGTGGTCAGACGGAAGCCACTCTTCAGTAAAAGGCACATGACAGCCCGCTTGGAGTTTGCCAAAAGGCACCTAAAGGACTCTCAGACCATGAGAAACAAGATTCTCTGGTCTGATGAGACCAAGATTGAACTCTTTGGCCTGAATACCAAGCGTCACGTCGGGAGGAAACCTGGCACCATCCCTACGGTGAAGCATGGTGGTGGCAGCATCATGCTGTGGGGATGTTTATCAGCGGCAGGGAGACTAGTCAGGATCGAGGCAAAGATGAACGGAGCAAAATACAGAGAGATCCTTGATGAAAACCTGTTCCAGAGCGCTCAGGACCTCAGACTGGGGCGAAGGTTCAACTTCCAACAGGACAAAGACCCTAAGCACACAGCCAAGACAATGCAGGAGTGGCTTCGGGACAAGTCTCTGAATGTTCTTGAGTGGCCCAGCCAGAGCCTGGACTTGAACCCGATCGAACATCTCTGGAGAGATCTGAAAATAGCTGTGCAACGACGCTCCCCATCCAACCTGACAGAGCTTGAGAGGATCTGCAGAGAAGAATGGGAGAAACTCCCCAAATAGAAGTGTGCCAAGCTTGTAGCGTCATACCCAAGAAGACTCAATGCTGTAATCGCTGCCAAAGGTGCTTCAACAAAGTACTGAGTAAAGGGTCTGAATACTTGTGTAAATGTTATATTTCAGTTGTTTTTCATACATTTGCAAAACAATTCAAAAACCTGTTTTTTTTTGTGTGTCATTGTCATTATGGGGTATTGTGTGTAGATTGATGAGGGGAAAAAAACAATGTAATCCATTTTAGAATAAGGCTGTAATTAACAAAAATATGGAAAAAGTAAAAGGGGTCTGAATACTTTCTGAACGCTCCTAGAGAGATGGGATACTGAAGCGTTGATGACAGTTCTACAGCCTCCATCAGAGGCCTTTTGGCATAGATCAAAGCTCACCAAGAGGTGGCGTTTCGACCAATGAGAGAGCGTTGTGTCGTTTGAAGAGATTCTACAGCAGGGTTCTTCAATTCCGGTCCTGGAGGGCCGAAACACTTCTGTTTTTTATTTCTACCTGGTAGTTAATTGCACTCACCTGGTGTCCCGGGTCTGAATTAGCCCCTGATTAGAAGGAGAGGATGGAAAACAGAGGTGTTTCGGCCCTCCAGGACCGGAATTGAAGAACCCTGGCATAGATGGTAAATCTCTCATTTCTGGACTGCAACATTGTAAAGATTGTGCCCTCCATGGCCCTTGATATACATTGATTGGTAGGTTCCACTATATTTAGATACTTCAACTACTGCCTGAGACACCTTCGCTATTTGTCTCCGTACTAAATAAAATGGTGAAACACTATTTGTGATTGTGATCTTTGTTTCTTAAGACAGTATTCAGACCCCTTGACTCCATATTTTGTTGTTACAGACAGAATTAAAAATGGATTTTTAAAAATTCTCACCCATCTACACACAATACCCCATAATGCCATTCGGTCTTCACCTAGGTCCGGAGGACCACACTGAAAATGGGTTATATTTCCTCACCGTCAAAACTTGCTAAATATAGTCCTCCATCCATCGCTTTGGGAATCTGATGGTCCCCGACTGTCTAGCTTTCATTTAGGTGATTATTAGCGAGTCAAGAAACTGTGTCCATTATCATTTCTACACAGTTTTGATTTGGTTTTAGTCATTAAAGTATAATGAGAAAATAATCTACAAAAAAAAGAATAATCTACTTTTACTCAAACTACCCACGGGCCGGATGGCACCCCTGGGTTAGAGGGAGACAGGCAGGTGGACAGGTAGACAGGTAGACAGGTGTACAGGTGTACAGGTGTACAGGTAGACAGGTGTACAGGTAGACAGGTGTACAGGTGTACAGGTAGACAGGTAGACAGGTGTACAGGTAGACAGGTGTACAGGTAGACAGGTGTACAGGTAGACAGGTGTACAGGTAGACAGGTGAGACAGACAGGTGTACAGGTAGACAGGTGTACAGGTAGACAGGTGTACAGGTAGACAGGTGTACAGGTAGACAGGTGAGACAGACAGGTGTACAGGTAGACAGGTGTACAGGTAGACAGGTGAGACAGACAGGTGTACAGGTAGACAGGTGTACAGGTAGACAGGTGTACAGGTAGACAGGTGAAACAGACAGGTGTACAGGTAGACAGGTAGACAGGTGTACAGGTAGACAGGTAGACAGGTGTACAGGTAGACAGGTAGATAGGTAGACAGGTGTACAGGTAGACAGGTGTACAGGTAGACAGGTGTACAGGTGTACAGGTAGACAGGTAGACAGGTTTACAGGTAGACAGGTGTACAGGTAGACAGGTGTACAGGTAGACAGGTGTACAGGTAGACAGGTGAGACAGACAGGTGTACAGGTAGACAGGTGTACAGGTAGACAGGTGTACAGGTAGACAGGTGAGACAGACAGGTGTACAGGTAGACAGGTGTACAGGTAGACAGGTGAGACAGACAGGTGTACAGGTAGACAGGTGTACAGGTAGACAGGTGTACAGGTAGACAGGTGAGACAGACAGGTGTACAGGTAGACAGGTGTACAGGTAGACAGGTGTACAGGTAGACAGGTGAAACAGACAGGTGTACAGGTAACAGGTTGAAACAGACAGGTGTACAGGTGTACAGGTAGACAGGTAGACAGGTGTACAGGTAGACAGGTGAAACAGACAGGTGTACAGGTGTACAGGTAGACAGGTGTACAGGTAGACAGGTGTACAGGTAGACAGGTGAAACAGACAGGTGTACAGGTAGACAGGTGTACAGGTAGACAGGTGTACAGGAAGACAGGTGTACAGGTAGACAGGTGAAACAGACAGGTGTACAGGTGTAGAGGTAGACAGGTAGACAGGTGTACAGGTAGACAGGTAGACAGGTAGACAGGTGTACAGGTGTACAGGTAGACAGGTGTACAGGTAGACAGGTGTACAGGTAGACAGGTGTACAGGTAGACAGGTGAGACAGACAGGTGTACAGGTAGACAGGTGTACAGGTAGACAGGTGAGACAGACAGGTGTACAGGTAGACAGGTGTACAGGTAGACAGGTGTACAGGTAGACAGGTGAGACAGACAGGTGTACAGGTAGACAGGTGTACAGGTAGACAGGTAGACAGGTGTACAGGTAGACAGGTGAGACAGACAGGTGTACAGGTAGACAGGTGTACAGGTAGACAGGTGTACAGGTAGACAGGTGAAACAGACAGGTGTACAGGTAGACAGGTGAAACAGACAGGTGTACAGGTAGACAGGTGTACAGGTAGACAGGTGTACAGGTAGACAGGTGAAACAGACAGGTGTACAGGTGTACAGGTAGACAGGTAGACAGGTGTACAGGTAGACAGGTGAAACAGACAGGTGTACAGGGTAGACAGGTGTACAGGTAGACAGGTGTACAGGTAGACAGGTGTACAGGTAGACAGGTGAAACAGACAGGTGTACAGGTAGACAGGTGTACAGGTAGACAGGTGTACAGGAAGACAGGTGTACAGGTAGACAGGTGTACAGGAAGACAGGTGTACAGGTAGACAGGTGAAACAGACAGGTGTACAGGTGTACAGGTAGACAGGTAGACAGGTGTACAGGTAGACAGGTGTACAGGTAGACAGGTGTACAGGTGTACAGGTAGACAGGTGTACAGGTAGACAGGTGTACAGGTAGACAGGTGTACAGGTAGACAGGTGAGACAGACAGGTGTACAGGTAGACAGGTGTACAGGTAGACAGGTGTACAGGTAGACAGGTGAGACAGACAGGTGTACAGGTAGACAGGTGTACAGGTAGACAGGTGTACAGGTAGACAGGTGAGACAGACAGGTGTACAGGTAGACAGGTAGACAGGTGTACAGGTAGACAGGTGAGACAGACAGGTGTACAGGTAGACAGGTGTACAGGTAGACAGGTGAAACAGACAGGTGTACAGGTAGACAGGTGAAACAGACAGGGGTAAAAGGAGACAGGTGAAACGACAGGTGTACATGTAGACAGGTGTACAGGTGACAGGTGAGAAAAAGACAGGTGTACCAGGTGTACAGGTAGACAGGTGAGACAGACAGGTGTACAGGTAGACAGGTGTCAGGTACAGGGGTACGTAGACAGTGTACAGAGCAGGTGTAAAAGTAGACAGGTGTACAGGTAGACAGGTGTACAGGTAGACAGGTGTACAGGTAGACAGGTGAGACAGACAGGTGTACAGGTAGACAGGTGTACAGGTAGACAGGTGTACAGGTAGACAGGTGAAACAGACAGGTGTACAGGAAGACAGGTGTACAGGTAGACAGGTGTACAGGTAGACAGGTGAAACAGACAGGTGTAACAGGTAACAGGTGTACAGGAAGACAGGTGTAACAGGTAGACAGGTGAAAAGACAGGGGTACAGGTGACAGGTGTACAGGTAGACAGTGAACAGAGACAGGTGTACAGGTAGACAGGTGGTACAGACAGGTGTACAGGTAGAACACGGTGTACAGGTAGACAGGTGACAACAGACAGTGTGTACAGGTAGACAGGTTGTAGACAGGTAGACAGGTGTACAGGTAGACAGGTGAAACAGAAAAGGTGTACAGGTAGACAGGTGACTACAGGTGACAGGTGTACAGGTAGACAGGTGAAACAGACAGGTGTACAGGTAGACAGGTGTACAGGTAGACAGGTGAAACAGACAGGTGTACAGGTAGACAGGTGTACAGGTAGACAGGTGTACAGGTAACGGGACAGTGTGAAACAGACAGGTGTAGTAACAGGTAACGACAGGTGGGACAGGTAGACAGGTGTACAGGTAGACAGGTGAAACAGACAGGTGTACATGTAGACAGGTGAAACAGGTAGACAGGTGTACAGGTAGACAGGTGTACAGGTAGACAGGGGAAACAGACGGTGTACAGGTAGAAAAGGTGAAAACATGACAGGTGTACAGGTAGACAGGTGTACAGGTAGACAGGTGAAACAGACAGGTGTACATGTAGACAGGTGTAACAGACAGGTGTACAGGTAGACAGGTGTAACAGGTAGAACAGGTGTACAGGTAGACAGTTGAAACCCGGACAGGGGTACAGGTAGACAGGTGTACAGGTAGACAGGTGCAAACGACAGGTAGACAGGTAAAGACAGGTGTACAGACAGGTGACAGGTGAAACAGACAGGTGTACAGGTAGACAGGTGAAACAGACAGGTGTACAGGTAGACAGGTGTACAGGTAGACAGGTGTACAGGTAGACAGGTGAAACAGACAGGTGTACAGGTAGACAGGTGTACAGGTAGACAGGTGTACAGGTGTCTCTCTCTCACCTGGTCTGTCATTCTCTGATCCTCTCTGTGTGTTGAAGGAGTCCCAGGCTTTTAGCAGGCCTGGAGGGTAGCAGCCCTGGACACAGTGGAGACTGGACACACACACTAACATTAGTACAACTACCTATTCACCTATCAATTCTACACAGATTATCTGAGAGAGAGACAGAGACAGAGAGAGTGAGAGACAGAGACAGAGAGAGTGAGAGACAGAGACCGAGAGAGAGAGAGACACAGAGACAGAGACAGAGAGAGAGAGAGAGGAGAGAGACAGAGAGGAGAGAGACAGAGAGACAGAGAGAGAGAGAGGAGAGAGACAGAGAGACAGAGAGAGAGAGAGGAGAGAGACAGAGAGGAGAGAGACAGAGACAGAGAGAGAGAGAGGAGAGAGACAGAGAGAGAGAGAGAGGAGCCAGTGTATTTACTCCTTCAGTCCGATGAAGCCAGTGGTCTGGTTGTGTTGCTTCTCCTTTAGACTGCTCAGCTCCCTGAGACAGACAGACAGACAGACAGACAGACAGCATTAGTACACAACCACAACCACACTACAATACACACACTACAATACACACACACTGGAATACACACACACTGGAATACACACACTGGAATAGTTGAAAATAAAGTAATGTTTGGGAAAGATTTGGTGAAAGTGTTAAAAGAGGATGATAGCAGTGTCTGCTATGTTATGTGTGATGATTGTGAGACTCTATACAAATTAGACAGTCACAAGACGGGGACTTCAAATAGGCCTGTGGCAGGTCAAGGGAACTGTGGCCTACTGTTCAGATGGGTTAAATGGAAACTGACATCTGGACACTGACTATAGGTCTGTAACCTCTCACATAGCCTTAATATAATATGACCTCCTGCAGTAAAATGATTCACCAAATGTGAACTTTGACTCGGGAACAGGAGTGGAGAGAAATATGATTTCTTTCAGCATCTTGAGAGAAAGCGCAGTAAGACGCGTCCATCTTTATCAGCATCATAAAAAAAAGTATTTCAACCACATTAAAATATGCATCCAAACCGAACTGAAATCTTATCAGAAACAACGTTGGGTCGTTTTCACAGCTTTCCATTTCCTTACAACCGGTCAAACCTGTGCAAAATGTCCAATTGGCATCAATGTCCAAACGTTTGACTGGTACTGTATATATATATATATATATATATATATATATATATATATATATATATATATATATATATATATATATATATATATATATATATATATATATTTACGCCCATCTCAGTGAACTAATCCATTGCAGAGGCCTAGACTAAAAGCCAATTTTTGCTTGATCCAAAAATGTGGTCGGAGGCTCCATGTGGAATCTGAGAAAGCCAGCAGGAGCGGGAGGAGAACAGTTGGGTCAGGTTAAGGATTTTTTCCTTTTCTAGATCTCCTCTTGAGGCATTTGTTTTATTTCATCAACCCGTTAGCTTTAGGCATTAGACAAGCTCAATGCGTATAGTTGATTTTATTAAAACACATAGGGTGTGTCTATATATGGAAAAATACACGTTTAACATTTTAGACCAATCGATTGGTCGAAAGAACAGACGACTTTCGGTCTACCAAGGTTTTTTGTTTTTGTTTTTGGTCGGGGGACCGCCCTAAATTATAGACAAGTTGACTAACAAATAGCCTACCAAAATGTTGGAAATTACAAGCAGAAACATCTAAATTACCCCCCAAAAAATAAAACTGCACCCCCTTGTCAAATCCTCATTCTGCTGTCTGACTGCACAGCGCATTCTCTATATTAGCAGGTTAGGGTCCGGTGCAGGCCTCAGTCTTTCACTGGATCACATATAGTCAGTCGGTTGCGGACGGGTTATTAGCAATTGCGGATCGGTTTGGGTGAACAAACAGCTGATCCGCGCACCACTAACACACATCATTAATATACACACACACACACACACACACACACACACACACACACACACACACCCTCAGCAGGGTTTTCATCCGGGGTTTCAAGGGGAAATGGAAAGAGAGCCTTTTGGACGTTAACAAGACTCCATCTTAACTCCTCCTCCACATTTACTGGATTGGTTCAACAGTACAGAACAGAACCTCCCCCAACAGTGTTCTCTCTGGTCAGGACTAGATACGCCTGCTACGTTGGGTCACACACACACACACACACACACACACACACACATCATTAATACACTCCCCAAAGTGCCACAGTAACGTACTTGGATATGATGATCTCATGGAGGATTTCTCCAAAGGTTTTCTGCTCCTCTCCATTCACCTGGTCACAGCCTTCTATTGGGATGATCTAACCACAGAGAAACTGTTACACACTCCAACCCCCCCACTCCAACACACAACCCCCCCCAACTCCAACACACACACAACCCCCCCACAACCCCCACTCCAAACACAAACCCCCCACTCCAACACCCCCACACCCAACAACACACACACACACACACAACCCCCCACTCCAACACACACAACACCCCCCACTCCAACAACACCAACCCCCCCTCCAACACACAACCCTCCCACTCCAACACACAACCCCCCACTCCAACACACAACCCCCCCACTCCAACACAACCCCCCCCACTCCAAACACACAACCCTCCCTTCCAACACCAACCCCACTCCAACACACAACATCCCCACTCCAACACACAACAACACAACCCCCAAACACAACCCCCCACTCCAACACACAAACACCCCCCACTCCCCAAACCAACCCCCCCTCACAACGACAACCCCCCCACTCCAACACACAACCCACACTTCCCAACACACCCACCCACACCACTCCAACACACACCCCCCACCTCCCACCCCATCCACCACCCACACCCCACCAACACACCCCCACTCCCACCACCCTCCACAAACAACAAACCCCACTCCAATCCCCACTCCAACACAACCCCCCACTCCCAATCCCCCACTCCAACACACAACCCCCCACTCCAACACACCCCCCCCCCACTCCAACACACAACCCCCCCACTCCAACACACAACCCCCCCTACCTTGAGAGCGACGGTGTCTCCATCTGTGTTGGTGGTACTGAAGACCTCTCCGAAGGTTCCCTCTCCGATCTTCCTACACAGCTTCATCCTGGCTGCTGGGAGACAGTCCTGGAAGCCCAGAGGACCTGTCTGACCGCACTCTGAATACACCTTCTGGCCATCAGACAGGTCATTATCTAACTCATACACACTCTACAGAGAACACACACACACCACACACACACACACACACACACACACACACATTAGATATACACACTACAGAGAACACACACACATTAGATATACACTCTACAGAGAACACACACATTAGATATACACACTACAGAGAACACACACACACACACACACACACATTAGATATACACTCTACAGAGAACACACACATTAGATATAAACACTACAGAGAACACACACAATATGTGCGTGTGTCTATCTAATGTGTCGTGCGTGTGTCTATCTAATGTGTTGTGTGTGTGTATATCTATGTGTGTGTACCAGCGGAGTGGTCCCCAGTATCTGTGAGCGGAGGTGTCGTGTGTGTGTATATCTATGTGTGTGTACCAGCGGAGTGGTCCCCAGTATCTGTGAGCGGAGGTGTCGTGTGTGAGTATATCTAATGTGTGTGTATGTGTGTCGTGTGTGTGTATATCTAATGTGTGTGTGTATGTGTGTCGTGTGTGTGTATATCTAATGTGTGTGTACCAGCGGAGTGGTCCCCAGTATCTGCGAGCGGAGGTGTCGTGTGTGAGTATATCTAATGTGTGTGTGTATCTAATGTGTGTGTGTGTGTGTGTATGTGTGTCGTGTGTGAGTATATCTAATGTGTGTGTATATCTAATGTGTGTGTGTGTGTGTGTATGTGTGTCGTGTGTGAGTATATCTAATGTGTGTGTATATATCTAATGTGTGTGTACCAGCGGAGTGGTCCCCAGTGTCTGTGAGCGGAGGTGTCGTGTGTGAGTATATCTAATGTGTGTGTATGTGTGTCGTGTGTGTGTATATCTAATGTGTGTGTGTATGTGTGTCGTGTGTGTGTATATCTAATGTGTGTGTACCAGCGGAGTGGTCCCCAGTATCTGTGAGCGGAGGTGTCGTGTGTGAGTATATCTAATGTGTGTGTGTATGTGTGTCGTGTGTGTGTATATCTAATGTGTGTGTGTATGTGTGTCGTGTGTGTGTATATCTAATGTGTGTGTGTATGTGTGTCGTGTGTGTGTATATCTAATGTGTGTGTACCAGCGGAGTGGTCCCCAGTATCTGTGAGCGGAGGTGTTGTGGGAGGGGCGTGCGGAGGGGCGTGGAGAACAGGCTGCGACTGACATCACCTAGCTCCGCCCTTAGCTCCGCCCCAGGAGAGGACAGCAGGTAGAGAGGCAGCGTCTTAGGAGTCAGGAACGCTGTGGGGGGGGGGGGGGGGGGGGGGGGGACACAGACAGGAAGTCATTTAACACTGCAAAGTCATCAACACAAAACAATGACTGCTGTGTCTATCACACAGAGAGAGAGAGAGAGAGAGAGAGAGACAGAGAGAGACAGAGGAGAGACATAGAGGACGAGAGAGAGAGAGAGAGAGAGAGGAGACAGAGAGAGAGAGAGAGAGAGAGGAGAGAGAGAGACCGAGAGAGACGAGAGAGAGAGAGGATAGGAGAGGACGGAGAGAGAGAGAGACAGAGCTTAGAGCGGAGGTAGAGAGAGAGAGACCACTTATATATACTAATATTGACATTTGAAATGTCTTTATTCTTTTGAAGTTACTCTGAGTGTAATGTTTACTGTATAATATGAATTGATCATTTGATGTACTATCTATTTTAAATTCATTGACTATTGAGAATTTTTAACACACGTTGGCCACATGCCAAAAAGCCCTTAAATTGAATTGAATTGAGAGAGACACAGACAGAGAGAGACACAGACAGAGAGAGAGAGAGACACAGAGAGAGAGAGAGAGACACAGACAGAGAGAGAGACGACAGAGAGACAGAGAGACACAGACAAGAAGAGAAGAGAGAGAGAGAGACGAGAGAGAGACAGAGAGAAGAAAGCACAGAGAGAGAAAGACAGAGAGAGAAGAGAGAGAGAGAGACGAGAGGGGAGAGGGAGAGAGAGAGAGAGGGAGGAGGAGAGAGAGACAGAGAGAGAATACCTTGGTCTTCCTGTGTAGGGGGAAAGGAGAGAGAGAGAATACCTTTGGTCTTCCTGTGTAGGGAGAGAGAGAGAGAATACCTTTGGTCTTCCTGTGTAGGGAGAGGGCAGCTTTGAGGCGACTCCAGCTGTGTGTGTCAGGAGTGAGGTTGACCAGCAGAGAGGACAGATGGAGTCTGTTACTACGCACTGGAGTCCCCAAGACTATACTGTCTGATAGACTGGATACCTGGAACAGGACATATAGAACATTATAATATAATACTATACTGTCTGATAGACTGGATACCTGGAACATGACATATAGAACATTATAATATAATACTGTCTGATAGACTGGATACCTGGAACATGATACTATAATACTATACTGTCTGATAGACTGGATACCTGGAACTGACAATATAGAACATTATAATATAATACTGTCTGATAGACTGGATACCTGGAACATGACATATAGAACATTATAATACTATACTGTCTGATAGACTGGATACCTGGAACAGGACATATAGAACATTATAATATAATACTGTCTGATAGACTGGATACCTGGAACATGACATATAAACATTATAAAGATATAACTATACTGTCTGATAGACTGGATACCTGGAACATGACATATAGACATACATTATAATATATACTGTCTGATAGACTGGGTACCTGGAACATGATACTATAATACTATACTGTCTGATAGACTGGGATACCTGGAACATGACAAGATAGAACATTATAATATAATACTGTCTGATAACTGGATACCTGGAACAGGACATTAGAACATTAGATAATATACTATACTGTCTGATAGACTGGATACCTGGAACATGACATATAGAACATTATAATATAATACTGTCTGATAGACTGGATACCTGGAACATGATACTATAATACTATACTGTCTGATAGACTGGATACCTGGAACATGACAATATAGAACATTATAATATAATACTGTCTGATAGACTGGATACCTGGAACATGACATATAGAACATTATAATACTATACTGTCTGATAGACTGGATACCTGGAACAGGACATATAGAACATTATAATATAATACTGTCTGATAGACTGGATACCTGGAACATGACATATAGAACATTATAATATAATACTATACTGTCTGATAGACTGGATACCTGGAACATGACATATAGAACATTATAATATAATACTGTCTGATAGACTGGGTACCTGGAACATGATACTATAATACTATACTGTCTGATAGACTGGATACCTGGAACATGACATATAGAACATTATAATATAATACTGTCTGATAAGAACTGGATACCTGGAACAGGACATATAGAACATTATAATATAATACTATACTGTCTGATAGACTGGATACCTGGAACATGACATATAGAACATTATAATATAATACTGTCTGATAGACTGGATACCTGGAACATGATAATATAATACTATACTGTCTGATAGACTGGGTACCTGGAACATGATAATATAATACTATACTGTCTGATAGACTGGATACCTGGAACATGATAATATAATACTATACTGTCTGATAGACTGGATACCTGGAACATGATAATATAATACTATACTGTCTGATAGACTGGGTACCTGGAACATGATAATATACTACTATACTGTCTGATAGACTGGGTACCCTGGAACATGATAATATATACTATACTGTCTGATAGACTGGATACCTGGAAACATGTATAAGATAATACTATACTGTCTGATAGACTGGATACCTGGAACATGATAATATAATACTATACTGTCTGATAGACTGGATACCTGGAACATGATAATATAATACTATACTGTCTGATAGACTGGATACCTGGAACATGACAATATAGAACATTATAATATAATACTGTCTGATAGACTGGATACCTGGAACAGGACATATAGAACATTATAATATAATACTATACTGTCTGATAGACTGGATACCTGGAACATGACATATAGAACATTATAATATAATACTCTACTGTCTGATAGACTGGATACCTGGAACATGATAATATAATACTATACTGTCTGATAGACTGGGTACCTGGAACATGATAATATAATACTATACTGTCTGATAGACTGGATACCTGGAACATGATAATATAATACTATACTGTCTGATAGACTGGATACCTGGAACATGACATATAGAACATTTTAATATAATACTATACTGTCTGATAGACTGTGGTACCTGGAACATGGATAATATAATACTATACTGTCTGATAGACTGGGTACCTGGAACATGATAATATAATACTATACTGTCTGATAGACTGGATACCTGGAACATGATAATATAATACTATACTGTCTGATAGACTGGTACCTGGAACATGATAATATAATCAACTATACTGTCTGATAGACTGGATACTGGGAACATGATAATATAATACTATACTGTCTGATAGACTGGATACCTGGAACATGACAATATAGAACATTATAATATAATACTGTCTGATAGACTGGATACCTGGAACATGACAATATAGAACATTATAATATAATACTGTCTGATAGACTGGATACCTGGAACATGATAATATAATACTATACTGTCTGATTAGACTGGATACCTGGAACATGATATATAGAACATGATAATATAATACTTACTGTCTGTAGACTGGATACCTGGAACATGATAATATAAACTATACTGTCTGATGGGACTGGATCCCTTTGAACATGATAATAAAATACTATACTGTCTGATAGACTGGATACCTGGAACATGATAATATAATACTATACTGTCGATAGACTGGTACCTGGAAAAGGAAAATATAATTTACTATACTGTCTGATAGACTGGTACCTGAACATGACAATATAGAACTTATAAATAACTGTCGATAGACTGGATACCTGGAACATGAAAATATAATTTACTATACTGTCTGATAAAATGGATACCTGGAACATGAAAATTTATAGAAATTATATATAATACTATACTGTCTGATAAAACTGGATACCTGGACATGATAATATAATACTATACTGTTGATAGACTGGAAAACCTGGAACATGATAATATAATACGATACTGTCTGATAGACTGGATACCTGGAACATGATAATATAATACTATACTGTCGATAGACTGGATACCTGGAACATGATAATATAATACTATACTGTCTGATAGACTGGATACCTGGAACATGATAATATAATACTATACTGTCTGATAGACTGGATACCTGGAACATGATAATATAATACTATACTGTCTGATAGACTGGATACCTGGAACATGATAATATAATACTATACTGTCTGATAGACTGGATACCTGGAACATTATAATATAATACTATACGGTCTGATAGACTGGATACCTGGAAACATGATAATATAATACTATACTGTTGATAGACTGGATACCTGAACATGACCAATAGAACATTATAATATAATAACTGTCTGATAGACTGGATACCTGGAACATGACAATATAGAACATTATAATATAATACTGTCTGATAGACTGGATACCTGGAACATGATAATATAATACTATACTGTCTGATAGACTGGATACCTGGAACATGATAATATAATACTATACTGTCTGATAGACTGGATACCTGGAACATGATAATATAATACTATACTGTCTGATAGACTGGATACCTGGAACATTATAATATAATACTATAACTGTCTGATAGACTGGATACCGGAACTGATAATATAATACATAGTGTCTGATAGACTGGTATACCCTTGGGAACATGATAATATAATACTATACTGTCTGATAGACTGGATACCTGGAACATGATAATATAATACTATACTGTCTGATAGACTGGATACCTGGAACATGATAATATAGAACATGATAATATAATACTATACTGTCTGATAGACTGGGATACCTGGAAACATGATAAATAACACTATACTGTCTGATAGACTGGATACCTGGAACACGATAATATAATACTATACTGTCTGATAGACTGGATACCTGGAACATGATAATATAGAACATGATAATATAATACTATACTGTCTGATAGACTGGATACCTGGAACATGATAATATAATACTATACTGTCTGATAGACTGGATACCTTGGAACATGACATATAATACTATACTGTCTGATAGGACTGGATACCTGGAACATGATAATATAATACTATACTGTCTGATAGACTGGATACCTGGAACATTATAATATAATACTATACTGTCTGATAGACTGGATACCTGGAACATGATAATATAATACTATACTGTCTGATAGACTGGATACCTGGAACATGATAATATAATACTATACTGTCTGATAGACTGGGTACCTGGAACATGACAATATAATACTATACTGTCTGATAGACTGGATACCTGAAACATGATAATATAATACTATACTGTCTGATAGACTGGATACCTGGAACATGATACTATAGATATACAACATGATACTATAGAACATGATACTATAGATATACAACATGATACTATAGAACATGATACTATAGATATAGAACATGATACTATAGATATAGATCATGATACTATAGATATAGATCATGATACTATAGAACATCTCCAACACTACACTATGACCTAACACACTGGTCACCTGGAATATACAACACACCATATAATAACAGAACCGTAATAAAAACATTACCTTGTGTGTTTGTTGAGCAGACAGCAGGTCAGTAAGGCTGCAGTCCCCGGCTCGGCCAGGGGGAGGCGCTGCTCTGCTGTTGGGAGCCCCGTCTCTCCTTCCCCAGCGATTCCCACTCACACCGCTCACACACGCCTTCCTACTGGTGGTGGGACGCCCGCGAGACACACTCCTCCGCTTGCTCTCTCTGAGAATACCTCCCGCCTTCCTTCTTTTGGGAACGTTGTCTTTAGGGACAAGGCTGTCCTTTTCCTTGGGAACGTTCTCTGACCGCGCGTGGTCATCTGCTGCACCGCTGTCCGACCGCGTGTTGTGGTCACTGGACTGGTCGCTTTTTAAACACTGATCACTATCTGACCGTGTGTGGTCGAGGGAAGAGGAGTATGCAGTCCTCCCTCTGTTGTGGGTCGGGATACGGTCCGCTGGCTCTCTGTTGGTCGGGATACGGTCAGGGCTGGTCTCTCTGTGTGGTCGGGATACGGTCAGGCTGGTCTCTCTGTGTGGTCGGGATACGGTCAGGCTGGTCTCTCTGTGTGGTCGGGATACGGTCAGGCTGGTCTCTCCGTGTGGTCGGGATACGGTCAGGCTGGTCTCTCCGTGTGGTCGGGATACGGTCAGGCTGGTCTCTCTGTGTGGTCGGGATACGGTCAGGCTGGTCTCTCCGTGTGGTCGGGATACGGTCAGGCTGGTCTCTCCGTGTGGTCGGGATACGGTCAGGCTGGTCTCTCCGTGTGGTCGTGATACGGTCAGCCTCTCCAGCTGTAGCTGACAGTGTGTGGTCAGACATCTCTGCGTCGCCCTGACCTCCAGACTGACAGGCTCCTCATTGGTCCGGCTGATAGACACTGTACAGTCCAGAGACCGACCGCTGTTGCCTGCACGGTCTGCAGACTGACCGTCATTCACTGGGAGAATCTGGACATCGGACTGATCAGTGTTGCCTGCACGGTCTGCAGACTGACTGTCATTCACTGGGAGAATCTGGACATCGGACTGATCGGTGTTGAGTATGTGGTCTCCAGACTGACTGTCATTCACTGACCCCGTGTGGTCTCTGGAGGGCGCACAGATCTCTGAGTGGTCGATGGACTGACCACTAGTCACCGACGGCGTGTGGTCAACAGATCCCCCACTGTTGTGTGACCGTGTATGGTCGATGCAGGATGAGTACGCGGTGTCGCCGTGAGGTTTGTCCACTCTCTCTAGCCGTACGACACAGCAGCGTGTCAGACACCTCTCCTTCACTACCTCAACCAGCCAATCCTGTCCCACTGTTGCTGACACAAAATGGCTGCCGCTCTCAGTTTCCTCCCCGGCCCCGTCTGGGCCAGTCTGCTCACAGGAAACCACAGAGAACAGATCCAGGCTCAGCTGATCACCGACGCCATCTTGGATCACTGAGCCTCCATTCCGGCTCCTGCTACTCCTCAGACTGGTTGATCCACGGCGAGTTGGCTCTTCACAGTTTCCTACCTCTGGTTGTCTCGATGCCTGTCCCAAGGGTGACAGCTGGCGTAGCCCAGGACGGGGCTCTGCGAGTGAGGCAGACAGAGAGGGACGGAGGGGGTCCTCTGGAACATCCAGCTCCTCCTGGGTGGTGCTCAGAGAGATGATGCCACTGGTGGAGGGAGAGATGGAGGGATGGAGGAGGGGTGGAGGAGGGAGGGAGCGTGAGCTGGGGGTGGAGGAGAAGCAGAGGTTTCCTGTGGCAGGGTCCCAAGGAGCGATCGGACGATTCATTCAGAGAGATATCTCTCGGGAAACCTTTACTGTTGGTTACACCGCTGTTCCCCGGATCAGCCAATGAGCTGTCAGCGCTGGCCAGGGCACGGCGGCGCCCCTGTGTGGCATGGCGAGGGAAGGCACGCTGGACCACTCCTCCTTCTCGTCCTCCACCCTGAACGAAGTCATCAGAGGAGTTGAGGCTGAGCTGGGCCAGCAGAACCTGGGAAGACAAGAGACCACGCAGACAGACAGACAGACAGACAGACAACCACACAGACAGACAGACAGACAGACACCACACAGACAGACAGACACCACACAGACAGACAGACAGAGACCACACAGACAGACAGACACCACACAGACAGACAGACAGACAGACACCACACAGACAGACAGGTAGACAGGCAGGCAGACAGACAGACGACAGGACCCACACAGACAGTCAGGCAGCACAGACAGACAGAGCACACAGACAGACAGAGACACACGACAGACGACAAGACCACACAGAACAGCCACACAGACGACAGAGACGACAAGCACACAGACACCAGACAGACGAGACAGACAGAGCAGACACACACAGACAGGGACACACACAGACAGACAGACAGAGACCCACACAGACAGACAGACAAGAAGCGACGAAGGACACACAGACAGAGCAGAGACAGACGACAGACAGACACAGAGACCACAGCAGACAGAGACGAGACAGGAGACAGACAGAGAGACCACGACAGACCAGACCACACAGACAGACAGACAGAGACCACACAGGACAGACAGACAGACAGAGACCACACAGACGAAGACAGACAGCAGACAGACAGACAGAGACCACACAGACAGACAGACAGAGACCACACAGAGACAGACAGACAGGAGACGACAAGACACCACACAGACAGACAGACAGAGAGACACAGGGGTTAGGATCTCTCAGGGGACATTTTTACATTTACATTTTAGTCATTTAGCAGACGCTCTTATCCAGAGCGACTTACAGGAGCAATTAGGGTTAAGTGCCTTGCTCAAGGGACCATGTGGTGGTGTGGATTGGAACGGGGCCTGGGGACACCAGAGCCACTATGGAGAAGGGTAGGTGGTGTGGATTGGAACAGGGCCTGGGGACACCAGAGCCACTATGGAGAAGGGTAGGTGGTGTGGATTGGAACGGGGCCTGGGGACAGCAGAGCCACTATGGAGAAGGGTAGGTGGTGTGGATTGGAACGGGGCCTGGGGACAGCAGAGCCACTATGGAGAAGGGTAGGTGGTGTGGATTGGAACAGGGCCTGGGGACAGCAGAGCCACTATGGAGAAGGGTAGGTGGTGTGGATTGGAACGGGGCCTGGGGACAGCAGAGCCACTATGGAGAAGGGTAGGTGGTGTGGATTGGAACGGGGCCTGGGGACAGCAGAGCCACTATGGAGAAGGGTAGGTGGTGTGGATTGGAACGGGGCCTGGGGACAGCAGAGCCACTATGGAGAAGGGTAGGTGGTGTGGATTGGAACGGGGCCTGGGGACACCAGAGCCACTATGGAGAAGGGTAGGTGGTGTGGATTGGAACGGGGCCTGGGGACAGCAGAGCCACTATGGAGAAGGGTAGGTGGTGTGGATTGGAACGGGGCCTGGGGACAGCAGAGCCACTATGGAGAAGGGTAGGTGGTGTGGATTGGAACGGGGCCTGGGGACAGCAGAGCCACTATGGAGAAGGGTAGGTGGTGTGGATTGGAACGGGGCCTGGGGACAGCAGAGCCACTATGGAGAAGGGTAGGTGGTGTGGATTGGAACGGGGCCTGGGGACAGCAGAGCCACTATGGAGAAGGGTAGGTGGTGTGGATTGGAACGGGGCCTGGGGACAGCAGAGTCACTATGGAGAAGGGTAGGTGGTGTGGATTGGAACGGGGCCTGGGGACACCAGAGCCACTATGGAGAAGGGTAGGTGGTGTGGATTGGAACGGGGCCTGGGGACAGGGATGCAAACTAGCGAGGGCCCAAAAAAAGAGAGGGATATTTTGACAAATCTGTCTAAAGTACAAGAAAAAAATGAATGAGTGCCCTGTTGGCCCCGCCTCCCAGGACGCCTGTTCCTGTTTTCTATACGTTCTGCATGTGTGCAATACACATCCTCACACCTCTACTCAATACACATCCTCACACCTCTACTCAATACACACCCTCACACATCTACTCAATACACATCCTCACACATCTACTATATACACATCCTCACACCTCTACTCAAGACACATCCTCACACCTCTACTCAATACACATCACCGCACCTCTACTCAATACACATCCTTACACCTCTACCCAATACACATCCCCACACATATACTCAATACACATCCTCACACCTCTACACAATACACACCCTCACACCTCTACTCAATACACATCCTCACACATCTACTCAATACACATCATCACACCTCTACCCAATACACATCCACACACATATACCCAATACACATCTTTACACCTCTACTCAATACACATCCTCACACCTCTACTCAATACACAACCTCACACCTCTACTATATACACATCCTCACACCTCTACTCAATACACATCCACACACCTCTACTCAATACACATCCACACACCTCTACCCAATACACATCCTCACACCTCTACCCAATACACCTCTACCCAATACACATCCACACACCTCTAACCAATACACATCCTCACACCTCTACTCAATACACATCCGCACACCTCTACCCAATACACATCATCACACATATACTCAATACACATCCTCACACCTCTACTCAATACACATCCGCACACCTCTACTCAATACACATCCTCACACATATACTCAATACACACCCTCACACATCTACTCAATACACATCCTCACACCTCTACCCAATACACATCCTCACACCTCTACTCAATACACATCCTCACACCTCTACTCAATACACATCCCCACACCTCTACTCAATACACATCCATTTCACTTCACACAGTGGATTGGAACGGGGCCTTGGAGAAGGAAGGTAGGATGGAGTGGATTGGAACGGAGCCTTGGGGAAGGAAGGTAGGGTGGAGTGGAGTGGAACGGGGCCTTGGAGAAGGAAGGTAGGGTGGAGTGGAACGGGGCCTTGGAGAAGGAAGGTAGGGTGGAGTGGAGTGGAACGGGGCCTTGGAGAAGGAAGGTAGGGTGGAGTGGAGTGGAACGGGGCCTTGGAGAAGGAAGGTAGGGTGGAGTGGAGTGGAACGGGGCCTTGGAGAAGGAAGGTAGGGTGGAGTGGAGTGGAACGGGGCCTTGGAGAAGGAAGGTAGGGTGGAGTGGAGTGGAACGGGGGCCTTGGAGAAGGAAGGTGGGGTGGAGTGGAACGGGGCCTTGGAGAAGGAAGGTAGGGTGGAGTGGAGTGGAACGGGGCCTTGGAGAAGGAAGGTAGGATGGAGTTGAGTGGAACGGGGCCTTGGAGAAGGAAGGTAGGATGGAGTGGAGTGGAACGGGGCCTTGGAGAAGGAAGGTAGGGTGGAGTTGAGTGGAACGGGGCCTTGGAGAAGGAAGGTAGGATGGAGTGGAGTGGAACGGGGCCTTGGAGAAGGAAGGTAGGGTGGAGTGGAACGGGGCCTTGGAGAAGGAAGGTAGGGTGGAGTGGAACGGGGCCTTGGAGAAGGAAGGTAGGATGGAGTTGAGTGGAACGGGGCCTTGGAGAAGGAAGGTAGGATGGAGTGGAGTGGAACAGGGCCTTGGAGAAGGAAGGTAGGGTGGAGTTGAGTGGAACGGGGCCTTGGAGAAGGAAGGTAGGATGGAGTGGAGTGGAACGGGGCCTTGGAGAAGGAAGGTAGGGTGGAGTGGAGTGGAACGGGGCCTTGGAGAAGGAAGGTAGGGTGGAGTGGAGTGGAACGGGGCCTTGGAGAAGGAAGGTAGGGTGGAGTGGAGTGGAACGGGGCCTTGGAGAAGAAGTAGGTGGAGGAGTGGAACGGGGCCTTGGAGAAGGAAGGTAGGGTGGAGTGGAGTGGAACGGGGCCTTGGAGAAGGAAGGTAGGGTGGAGTGGAGTGGAACGGGGCCTTGGAGAAGGAAGGTATGGGTGGAGTGGAGTGAACGGGGCCTTGGAGAAGGAAGGTAGGGTGGAGTGGAACGGGGCCTTGGGAGAAGGAAGGTAGGGTGGAGTGGAGTGGAACGGGGCCTTGGAGAAGGAAGGTAGGGTGGAGTGGAACGGGGCCTTGGAGAAGGAAGGTAGGGTGGAGTGGAGTGGAACGGGGCCTTGGGAGAGTGACGGTAGGGTGGAGTGGATTGGAACGGGGCCTTGGAGAAGGAAGGTAGGGTGGAGTGGATTGGAACGGGGCCTTGGGAAGGAAGGTAGGATGGAGTGGAGTGGAACGGGGCCTTGGAGAAGGAAGGTAGGGTGGAGTGGAACGGAGCCTTGGAGAAGGAAGGTAGGGTGGAGTGGAGTGGAACGGGGCCTTGGGGAAGGAAGGTAGGATGGAGTGGAGTGGAACGGGGCCTTGGAGAAGGAAGGTAGGGTGGAGTGGAGTGGAACGGGGCCTTGGAGAAGGAAGGTAGGGTGGAGTGGAGTGGAACGGGGCCTTGGGGAAGGAAGGTAGGATGGAGTGGAGTGGAACGGGGCCTTGGAGAAGGAAGGTAGGGTGGAGTGGAGTGGAACGGGGCCTTGGAGAAGGAAGGTAGGGTGGAGTGGAACGGGGCCTTGGAGAAGGAAGGTAGGGTGGAGTGGAACGGGGCCTTGGAGAAGGAAGGTAGGATGGAGTGGATTAGAACAGGGCCTTGGAGAAGGAAGGTAGGGTGGAGTGGATTGAAACGGGGCCTTGGAGAAGGAAGGTAGGGTGGAGTGGATTGAAACGGGGCCTTGGAGAAGGAAGGTAGGGTGGAGTGGAGTGGAACGGGGCCTTGGAGAAGGAAGGTAGGGTGGAGTGGATTGGAACAGGGCCTTGGAGAAGGAAGGTAGGATGGAGTGGATTTTAACGGGGCCTTGGAGAAGGAAGGTAGGGTGGAGTGGAACGGGGCCTTGGAGAAGG